AGACCACATGAAAGTCAGCTCTATTAGCATCTTTATGAACAGAAAAAGGTTTAACAACTTCATAAAATAAATAAGCAAAGCTATAGCAGAGCTTGGAAATCTTTAGAAAGCTAGAGCTTTGAATCTCTGGATACCACAAGCTTTCCTCTGTAGTCCAAAAAGTAGGAGAGGTGAACACCTTCAAAGAACTAGAAGGAAAGAACTATTGACTTGACAGAATCAGAATTGTTTGGGTTTATTTTGAGCTTTGTCCTTACCTCTTTCTTTGACCTTGGCCATGTCACTTTGCTGCTAATTTTCTGTGCCACTTTGTGGAACACAAACATAGTGACTTCGCTAACTGGCATGAACACCCTCAGCAAAATCTTTCAATGTAGTGCAAATAACAAACATATTTTGCTGAGCCAGACAAAAAAAAAAAAAAAAAAAAAAAAGAGTGAGCAAATACGCTTTTGCTAGTTCTCTGCAGCATTAGTTAACTGGCATTAATCCTACAGCGATGCTGGCATATCTAACATTGACAGACAAATAGAAACAAACAGGACCAGCTTAGTTATTTACATTACTTCGCTAAAACCAACAGGACTGCCCTTTTTGATCCTAAGCATTATATGCCAAGCATCTTCCTCTGGCCAGAAATGAGACTCAAATCACAAATAAGAGATAAAAGAAAGGGAAACTCTGAGTTAGGGCTGTGCTAAACAGTGATGTTGTCTTCAGTGGGCATTCCTAGTGGCTTTTTTTGTATAGCTCAGCATTTAGATTATTTAGGAACCTTCACATTGGGAGAGGCCTATTACTATTTCTGTAACATATGCTCAGTGGAGCACCAACATGCAGCTGAAGAGGGAAAGGTTAGCAGTATCTCCAGATGAAGAAAAAGAAGCCAGAAAAGATTCTGTCAAATTACTAAGATTAATTTTCATATGAAATAAATTAAATCTCTTGAATGCCAAAAGAAGAGAAATATCTCCTCACACAGCAGAATGAAATAGCTTTCCTGGGTTATCTTCTCTCTCTTGTGTAGTTACATGACTGACATGCAAGTTGGTAACCCCACTGAAACACTCACCTACCAGACTGACTGCCAACTCAACTGACACTCAGCAACAGAATTTCAGGGTCTCTAAAAATAAATCACAGGTGTGCAATTTGTTCTGTAAAGATCTTTATGTACTCATGTCCTGATAGCATCCCTAAAGCAATGAAACAAGCAGCCTTCCGTACCTCCAAGATTTACAATAAAAATCTGTCTCAAACAAACACGGTACTTAAAACATACGGGGCACTTTTCCTATACTTTAAATGTAAAGTTATGATAATGAAAAGGAGGAAAAATGAAGAAAAATGATGGAACTGAAAAGATGTCCACCTTTTTGGTCAAAAGAAGGAAAACAAATAATTGGTTTGGAGAGTGCTTTTTGATAAGGAGAATCTCAAGAAACAGACACCTCCTGGAATCTTCAAATAATCACCTGAGGGTCAGTCCCTAAACAAGACCAAGTTACCTCCAAAAGCAACCAAACCCTTATGTTCTTTACTATGCCATCAGAAATGTTGAGAACTATTCTGAGCATTGCTTTGGTACCTACTACTTGAGTCCACAAAGCTGCAATAGTTTAGATTAAAAAGGATTTTTTTTTTTTTTCAAATCCTTATAAATATATAATGGGGTAATTTCTCAGACTTGTATTAAGATGTCCCACTTGACTTATTCCACTGTTCAAAATGTAATGCAACGTGACCTTCTTAAAAGATTAATCATAAAGTACTGCCCTTATGCATTCTGTATCTGCCTAAATATAGGCAGACATCTGAAAGCAAGGCATCCTCTGATTTTCTTCTATTCTAGTAGAAAATTTGATTTTAAATAAGGCAACTCCGTTCTTTCCCACTCCCCCATCTTGTTCCCTCTCAAACTAACTCATTCTGCAGCTTCAGATGGATAGTGCAGGTCCCAGCTGGTGCTTGAAGGCAAGATGAGATGTATGAGAATCACCATCTATTACTAAACATAGGCAATACCAATCAGTGGATCAATACACCTGATGCTCCCACGACAGCTCAACAGTACTTTTCGATGTTTAGTACATGAAAGAAATGTGTCTGCAAGAATCTTTTCCAAATTCTTCCAAGCAGAAGCTGTTCCTTCTCCAGAGACACATTACTGCCTATCAGTTGGTGGGTGGTAACTTATGCAAGGAAAATGCTACCAGCTTGTAATTCTGCAGGCACAAAGCTAACAACATAACCTGTTCTAGTTATCCACAGTAATTAACAAAACCAAGTACATCAAAAAAACACAGAAAACACAAGCCATATAAAAATCAGGATGCAGTAACATACTTAGTCCACTAATCTTTACAAAACTTGTAAAAAGGTTTTCCATAGAAATCAGAGCAGAGAAATTTCCAAGATGTTTTTTACATATAATGGAAAAGGGATTTCAGCAATACAGTGACAGAGTATTCAGGAAGGACATGACTTGGGCAGTTCAAAGTTGTTTATCCTACAGATAACCAAGAATTAAGTCTACCTGCATATATAGGTAATATAGACTTTTGGGAAAAAACCAAACAAACAAGAAAAAAAACAGAAAAGACCAGCAGTCCCTCCTCACCAAAAAAGTTCCACTGTTGTAATAATCTAATATTTATGATACTTGCTTTATAGATACACCCAGAAAAGAACATACATTTTCAAATGTTTAAAATAGCATACATTTTTTAAATTCCTCTTCCACCACACAGCAGAGAATGAAGAACTCTATATTGCCAAACTAAACAGCTGTTGTATTATGTCAAGCCCATACCTGAGGTTACCAATTCATCTTATTTCAAGAGAGAGATACAAACCAATGAATTTTCCTTAAAAGTATCTGAAGTCCTTCCCTCCAGTACCAGTTCCTACATTTTTTTAGTTTACCAAATGTAATACGCTTTCTGTAGACCTAGCTGGGCTAGAATTTTCCTAAACCCTTCATTTCTGAACTAGATCTGATGGTACCTTTGGTCAAGACCACCATGTAAATTCTCTACCTCTCCTCTCCATAGGATGTCTTTGAATCCTTCCACAGGCATTCTAACTCATTCTTCCTCTTCCTTTTCCCAAATGAGGAAAATTCTAGTAATACATGTAGCAAAACCCTCAAGTTCTCACAGACAATTTGCAGTGTAGCACGATTATGTACTGCTGATTCACTGTGACGAGAGATATTTACTCTTGCTGCTGACAGTACAGATGTTTTTTAGCATCCATGTCTGTGGTTGGTTGGTGACACTGTGCACAGGTGTCCCTCTAGTTGGGCTGGTTCTCTGGTTGATACATTTCCCTTTTACAACTAGCAGTCTCTAGTCTGAACAAAACAGTGAAATATTGGGAGCTAACAGCTTTTTATCTTAGAAATAACATTCACTCTAAACCTCTAAAATGTTCAGATAGCATTAAGCAATAAAGTCTTAATAGCCTGTTAGCAAAATAAGCAAGTAAATATTTTCTTAGGTAAGAAGCAGAGGCCCAACAATTAGAGGCAACCATTTCTTATTCACAGATGCAGCCAGTCATCCATTAACCAAGCCAATCAAGCCTTCATTTTACAGCTTTTATCAATATGCCCATATATACTGGCATCAGTAAGGGAAGGGTTCAGATATTAGGAAATCTTTATAGACATTGAGATTGCCTTACTCTAACAAAAAGGGAAACTTTAATACTATAAAAATAATACTGTAGAAACTACTTTGAAAGCTCTCATAGTTCCTATTTTCAAACTCATTAACAAGAGCTAATAACACCTTTTTTTTTTTCCTTTCACAGCAAACTATACAAGATTTGAGGCCAAAAAACCACAGGAAGATTCTGCAAGGCCTTGGAATTTACAGCATTGTAATGGTTAACAGTAGCTCTAGTGAATCTATTTAAGATATTAAAATTCCCATCTGTCAGACCTCTTTGCTAGATGTTACTGCCCTCAAAGCAAAAGAGAACATGTACATGTGCCTGCATCCCCGCCACCCAGTTCGGAGCACTTCTTATGAACTCAAGCCGTAAATGAAAATGAGTTTATACTAACACACCTATCTAAACCACCGCAGCCAGCACGCAGGTACATGTTTGCTTTTGCCATCTAGACACAGACAAGCAGAGAGAAAGGCCAGAGAGCTGCATGCAGGCATCAAGAAAGGAGATGATGATCTTTAAACCACTGCAGGAGTTTGCTCCCACACTCTTAAATAATGTTCTATGCATGCGTTTTGACTTCAAGGCAATTTTAAGTTTGGGAAAACAGACACACTACAAAAACAATACCCAAGTGGCAGATAATGTTATTAGTATCACAGAGTAGTTATTCACCATGAATTCCAGAATTGTAACACCAAAGCTCAGTCCCCATGCTCCAATGGGTCAGCTGCATCCCATGTAAAGAACCACAAACATCAGCTGAAGTCCTGAGTGTACAAGGGCACCCACTGGGACATTTAATTTACCTGAGTTAATGTTTCTGTCAACACCAGCTCTATGAGGAACAGAGAGAAGATCCAATTCAGCAGGGTTAAATCTCCCATAAGGAAAAAAGGCTTGCATCTCATCTATACAGCAAAATTTAGCAAGTAAAATGAAAGCTTGGGACCATTTATCTTTCCAAAAAGTGGAAGGAGAATACATATTTTAAGTTCAACAAGACCTTCCAACATACGGGAGTCTTCTGAAATGCCAATAAAACTGAGACACTGTATATATGAGCTACTAGAGAAGCTCCATTTACAGTTGCTTTTGCATCCAATCATTTAAGTTAGTTCTATAAAGTAAAAACATTTACATGTTTCCTGTGGTCTGTAGAACCATATTACAGAAAAATAAACCCCTCTAGGATTGAATTAGAGGATACAGTGGTTCACAAGAAAGGAACGCTAAGTTACTATTACTCCCCTCTTTTCTTCATACTATTTCTTTCCATAACCATATCCCAGCACCCTGGCTGTTCACTGTGTAGCACTTACTGTTGCTGGACTTCAAGTCACGGTGAATTATGGGAACAATTGCTTCCTCGTGCAGGTAGTTCATTCCCCTCGCAATCTGTACTGCCCAGTTCACTAGTATGTCAGGAGGTATCCTTTTACCAGACAACACTCTGTTTAGCGATCCTCCTCGGGCAAACTCCATGATCAAGCAAAGATTAGGTTCCTTCAAACACACACCCCTGAGGGCGATGATGTTGGGATGCTTTAACATTGCAAAGAGCTTGGCCTCTTGTCGGACATTCTCAATGGTCTGGTTGATGTCCTCATCAGGGTCATAGCGAGCTGCCTTGACAGCAACCTCATCTCCTATCCATATAGCTCGATACACTTTTCCGAAGCCCCCTATGCCAATGATTTCCTCCAGAACAAGCTCTGAGAAGTCGATCTCCAGGACTAGGAAAAGAAGAAAAAAAAAAAAAGATGTAAACGTTTAGCAACTACGCAGCCTGTACATCAGCTGAAGGTCCATGTTGCCCAGCCTCAGCCTTACCCTTGGAGGAAGGGCCAATTTTCATTCCAAAACAATACAAACGAAAGCAGCTGACAATCTTTCATTGCCAAATAGCGTGGTAAAACAGGTCTTGCAGTATCATAAAACCTCTACGAAGTACTCATTGTGAATGAAGATGAATTTGACCTAATGCTAGTGAATGACACCCTTTGAATAAAATAGCCTCCTCTTAACACACTTAAACTCTTATAACACTGACACTCCTTTAAGGATAAACCCTCATTGCCTGCCCTCAATGACAGTACAAGATTACAAAAAAGAAACACACACCTACAGGCTAATCTTCACTGACTTCACTATATAGTGCTTAACGTGACATAGCTAAAATTCAACACAAAATGTATCTGCTCCTGCATTTGTTCCTTATTTGAATGTCTCTTATTCAACTGCCACTAACAATCTTTTAGTCCTTCCCAAATCACGCTTATTCTTCCACACCTCTACAAGCTTTGCAGATTTGTTCCCCGCAAGAGATCCGTTAACCAATTCTGACGCTACTGACGGTAGTGTGACAAACAGATGGATCAGACCACATACTGAGTATGCAGAGCTAGCAATAAGAAAAACATTTTTGATTAATGCATACTGCATTTTTTATTACAGTAGCTATGTGAAATAACAGAATCATCATTTTCCATTCTCATGCACTCACAGCTATTCTTTACAAGCTGCCACAGTAACTGGTGGCTACTTGGTGTTGTACAGTAAAAATCTACAGATGCAGATGTCTAAATTCAGCATATAAACTGCATCTGCAGCAAAAGTGGTGAGAAAATGTATCCTGTACAACTGTACACTAAACATTGTTTATGCTCACAGATGGCCAAAAGAACCCATCCAATACTGACTAATGTAGAATGGAAAACCTACATACTGACCAACAAAAGCATGCTGACATGGCTAAATTTACAGTAGTGGTAGGTCATCGGTGAGATATCATTGATGCTATTCTGTCCGATATTTTGGCAGTTACCAGTTACGGTCAAAGAAATTTTTAAAAGTTTTAAAGGAAAAATACCACAGTGCAAGGATTTAAGCAGAAAGTCACCAAGACTTTTAATACTTTACTGCATTTGAAAAGCCAAATCTGATATGGTTCTTCTGCTTTGTCTAGTAGAAAGGAAACTAAGTCTGTAAATGGACTTACTTGATGTAGGTATTAATCCAGAGTACTGTATTATATTACTGGGTTATGTAGTTATCGATTGCATACATAAAACTCTCCACTGTTTTTAAAATAAATTACGTAGTCATATAAGGCAAGGGACCAGGTTAGATTCTGCTTAAGTAAAATATTTTATTTATTCCAGTCAAATGCCTTTCCTAACTATAAGTCTATACTATAAGACATTGTCACAATACTGTATGGAGTTAATATGAATTCTGCTGTCCACGGCTGCAGATTTTTTTTTTTCTTCTTCACTGAGCTCTGTCTTCTCTGAACATGATTTTTTAAAAGCCTGGCTTACTTCTGTAAGTTAGTCAAACCTATGAGCTAGGACTTGACTACATATAAGGGTTTTATCATCACCCTTCCTATGCTGTACAGCCAATACATCCGAACCCTTAGCTAGTGTAATAACAATGCTTGTACTCTTTTTCCTAGTGTTCCATTAATGGGAGGCAAGACAGAAAACTGATCAGGAAAGTCTTCCAAAAGGAGGAGAGGCCTTTTACAGTCTAGAATACAGAAACAATTTGTCTGTTACTGTGAGTACATCTTTTGGGTAATGCTCTGAACTTCAAGGATTTACACAACAAAGAAGGTTTTGCTCTGACAGTAGCAGCCCTGGTGTTCAAATGCTCATGAGCTACAGATTACTAGAAAAGATGAAGGAGTAAATTCTTACCAGAAACACTGAAATTTTAGAAACACTGTAATGACAATAACTCCAGATATGAAACTACCCCGTTACTGAGAATACACTAAAGGAGCTGCTCTGGTATTTCTCACCGATAAAAGAGCTAAAGAAGTCAGATGCTGAGTCCTCTCACCTTCAGTCAGTAGAATTTCAGGACTGGTAGAATGCTCACTTACCCTGCCTCTAGGGACAGGGCCAAAGACTGAAAATGACCAAAGATGTAAGCCACAAAACAAGATCGACAGACCGTCCCTGGAACTCCGGACACGTAACATTCCGGTGGTATTCACAATCAGCCTTTTTCCTCGGACATTTCAGCTATTCAGAAGTCATTAAAGCCACGTCCAGCGAGCGCTTCCCACTGGCCCGCGGCTCAGCGTGGGAGAGGAGCGGCACGGCGGCGGCGGGCAGCGCCGGCGGTGCTGA